CTCCAGGTGAACCAGCTCCAAGGCAATAACAGATCCTTGCTATCAGTCACAGCCATAGCTAGGTCCCTGCTTGAGCTGCATGTTGAGAGTTTCATCCCCTTTCTGCTGCAGGCCTGCTTGCTAGTCATTCATGGGTCAGCACCCCTCTTCTGCACAGAACTCGCTCAGCAGAGGTGTGTGATATGCTGGAACCTGCTAGGTAGAAGTGGGGGAAAATACATAAGAGAAAGGAAGAGCAATCACATTTCCTCTCTGGTTGCTGACAAGCCTGTCTCCAACTTAAACCATCAGCCTCCCTGGGCAACAGCTGCCTGGCAATGGCTGGGGTTCCAAGGGTGGACACAGCTGCCCTATCTCTTGTGAATGGGGCAAGAGCCTATATGAAGAGTGTGCACTGGGTGGTCCAATAGGAGTCAGGCGGGAGGTCTTGAGAGGCTATCTTTGGGGTCTTCTGCCCATTGGGGTGGAAGAAAAGGCTCCCTTCACCTTTGGCAAGGATGAGACACTGGTTCTGTGGGCTGCTGGAAAAAGGTAAGGATGAGGCAGAGGATTTCCCTTGTGGCAGCCTGTGGATTCTGCTCAGGTCAGAGGCCTTACACTGAGCTTGCTATCTGCCTAGGCGATTGTGCATTGGAGTTAGACAAAAGCAGGACTTGTCTGATGTTGCCTGATGCATCTGTGCAGAAAAACCTGACTCTTATTTCACCTGCAAACTTACATCATGTTCAGGTACAAAGTTGTAATGCAGGAACTTCACTTACTGGTTTGCTCTGTGCTGCCAGCCCCCACTGTACCAAGCATGGAGAGCTGCTGAGTTCATACTGCCTCATTTCCCTTATCTCCCACCACAGTAGAATGCAGGGCCCGATTGTCGGACAATGCTGGTGCCAGACATGTACCCACATTGATGCACTTTCCAGTTACAGACTGAGTGGCTGTTCAAGTAGGTGCCTTTTTGGTCACTGGTGCAGGCAGTTACCCATTTCATGCACATGACTGCTATATGTACAAGTTAAGCATACAATTAAGCATATGAACACTCGTGGTGTTCTGGAGAGGTGCCGGAGGATTGGAAGAGGGCCAACGTGGTTCCCATCTACAAAAAGGGGAGAAAAGAGGACCCGGGGAACTACAGGCCAGTCAGCCTTACCTCGATCCTGGGCAAGCTGTTCGAGAAAATTATTCTGGCACGCATCCAGGAGGGGCCAGCAGGGAACGGCATGCTCAGGGGCAACCAGCA